TTTTTTTTTTTTTTTTTTTTTTTCTTTGAACAATATTAAAGAGCAGAGAATTTCTCTATCCACTGTTTGTCTCTGACTTATTGCTTCTAATACTTCCGGTGTTCCATAAGTCTAAAGGCATTTAGCAAGCTTTTAGATATTATTATAAGTGTTTTTTCCTGTTGTGCAACCTTATAAATAACTTTTAAAGTACGACGTCTAAAGTTTCGATGCTAATAACAATATTTAAGGATATTTAGTTACGAACCTTTGGCAGATCTATCTAAGCTGCTTAACCAGGTCGAAACAAACCTTATAAAACCCCACAAGCTTGATACTCCTTCGATTAAATTTGTTTTGCCTACAAGGAGTAAGGAATCTTTCTGTACTCACAAAGTGCGCAAAAGCAAAGTTAGAAAGGTAATTTCAATGCCACTTTATTCACTGTTCATGTGTAAAAAGGTTTATCATATCACATACTCACTTTCATCCGATTGTCGATTTTCAATTCAAAGTCTCTACTTCACCACACTTTGAATATTGTACTACTTATTATGTATGTATATACATACAGTAACCACAAACATCAACTAGCTGTAGAAAAGACTTTTCAGGTATATAGAGAATATTACATGAGATATTACGGAGATACGAATTTTATCTTCGAGTGTTGATTGATATCTCAAACGAGAAGATAAAATTCCTATCTCCAAGCGGCCATGTAATGTTCTGTTTATTATATAGATATCGATGAAACTTAAATAAAACAAAAGCTCAAAAATTCTTTATTAAAATACGTTACTATGTCAACAGCGATATCTTCACGTGTGAAAGATATGGTATCTTCCACTGGTGAAAGATATCAAGTTTTCGACGTTAGAGAAAACCTGGTATTTCATCGATATCTATATAATATTTAACAGACCAAAAACAGCTTTCCGGATCCGTGTTTGATACTCAGATCAAAACACGCGGGATGTTGAGAGAACACGAGAGGAGCGTAGGGAACCACGACGCGTAGCGGAGTGGTTTCCAGCTTGTCGAGTGTTCTCCCAACATCCCAAGTGTTTTGATCAGAGTATCAAACACAGAAAACTGTTTTAGTCTAAGTAAATTCTCCCTACGTGCAGTCTTATTCAAACTGACCAATGAGCGCGCGCGATAGATTAAAAATGACGGTAGCGTGTTTTGATACTCTCATCAAACATGGTTTTCGACCAATCATAGCGCGCGTAGTATCCCAATTATTTTATGAATAAAAATATATCATAACACAAGAGAGAACGCGACTAAATTTTCTAAGCAACACCTTTTGTTTTGGCTAGCGCTATCAGCAGCCTTTATCAGGGCGAAAGAAGAATATAGAACTGGCCTAACGAAGTAGAATATAGAATTAAAACTTCATCTCTGATCTCAAATCATATATATGTTATTTATCAGGAGGTCCGGATAGGAAAAAACTGTGTCCGAGGTCTTGAATATACGGACCGAGGGCACAGTTTTTCCCTATCCGGACCGACTATAGGACGGTAAATAACTTATTTATTTTTCCTGTATTTTTTTGCTTGTTTTTGTAATCGTTTTGTTTTGTTATTATCGGCGAAGGATACCGGACCGCGAGCGCGGGCAGATACTGACAAAATACCGCCCGCTCAAACAGCCAATCAGAACGAACGATTTTTTGAGGATACCGGACCGGCAAAAAATTAATTAAAACATTTTACCATTCAACTATTCACTACATCTAGAATCAATACAATCATTTGGTTAGGGATGAAGGGGCACTTTGGATACCAGTTATTTCGGGTTACACTTTTTACTGTTGTAATATTGTAATTTTTTTTTTYCCCCACATCTGTTTGTTATATATTGCCCGGAGCAGGTCTTGTTGGAGTAGTTTTGTGCCATCTGTTCAACATGAAGCTCCTCCTTATAGCCGTCGTGGTCTTTCTCCTCTGTGGAATCATGCTGCCAACTTCATTCGCAGAATCCGCTGGTAAGAAATTCTAAATACCGCAATTTGGCAATTTCAGTATATTGTAGTATATGGTATATTGCCATGGCATGATTAGAACAAAATTTCTCAAGAGATTGGAATGCTATTGCTTTGTCCCCCAGATAGAGCTGCTTTGGGGGTCCGATAGGCACAACGGTAAAACTCAAACTAAAAATCTAATTCTCAAAATAAAACACGTATTCTGAATGAAAGAGCACTACGTTGAAATAGCTGACGTAATGTTTATCTTAACAATGAGTTATTTTTCTTACACCGTAAAATAGTTAGTAAATTAATAGAGGTTATTATTTCTCGATTGACACTGGGTTTCCTTTGTTATTCACAAGGCTTTATTCTTGTTATAACCCTCATTATGAATGCGAGGTCAATATATAGTTATTAGAGAGTTTTAGATTTACGTTCACGGCAAACGTGAAACGTCAGTTGACCAATAAAAAATTCTTTTAAATTACTGAAAAAGAATCGCAAAAAATTCCAAGTAGTAGAAAAACAAAAGAGTATTTGCGCTTGGTGAGAAGGTTTGTAAATAGTAAAGTAAAATAAAGGAAAACTATGAAAACGTGGTCACGTTTGCCGTTTGAGGGGGGAAAAAAAGTCAATCTAAAACTCTCTATTAACCCGCTTAATAATTATATATAGACCTCGCATTTATAATGAGCAACATTTGATAGAAAACCTTCTCAATTGAGAAATAAAATACTTAATTACCTCGAGCGTCGGCAATAAGCCTATACATCCCGAGGGCCGCAGGCCCGAGGGATGTATATGGCTTATTACCTCCGTTCTCGATAATTAACTCTTACGTAGATCTTATATACCGTATAAAACACGATTTGCGAGTTTATCAAACTGCTTCAAAAACTTAGGCATAATTCAGACTAATGAAGAAAACTTTAAGGGGTTTAAATGGCATGCACGTGACGCGTACGCTCCCTCCAATTGGTTGAAAGGCTCATTGATCATTCATGGTTATTGAAAAATATATCAAAATTGTTTTGGTACTTTTGAGTTCAAACATTATGATCACTCTAGAAAACAAAAATCATTGCGACACTGGTTTGTATAGAGCATGTGGACGTTACGTCATTGTCGCCATCTTGGTTGACGATAACAAAGCATTCCTCTTTAGCTTCTCTTGTTAGATCAACCAAGATGGCGACATTGTTTCATTGTTATTCATATCTCAAGTCTCATGGTTGCACACACTCTATTACTTAATTTATTACAAAATAAATTTAGTCATTAATAATTGATATCTCCAAGATACGTCACTCAAATCATATAAACGTTTTACTATTCAACTATTCACTTCATATAGAATCAATACTAAAAATATTAAGATTAGTCTTTGTGTTAAAATTAGATAGCCTTTTTTTCTTTCTTAATCATCAGTTTTATTTCAATTTTCTCCTTTCTCAAGTTCGCACTCTAATCTTTATGTTTATTTTTATTCTTTGACTCGCTCTCCTCAACATCGTTCGCTCACCGACTTTGAAAACCTATTAGATTCTAGCTCTCGAGTTCATCTTGTTTAAACCTGTTTTATCTTGTCTTATCTTGATACCTCGCGCAAATGCATTGTTATGATCTTCAGCAATATAGCTAAAGGGAACCCAAATTATTCAATATTCTTTTGATTCTACATGAAGTGAATGATTGAGTGGTAGAATATGTTTTACATGATTTGAGTCCTACATCTTGGCCGGAGATATCAAGTTACATTCTTGTGATATGTTATTGACTGCGATGTCATATGAGGCAATTGAGTTTGTCAAAATTTGTCAAAATTCGTAAATTGGAATACTGATTACTTTCTATCAACCATGTTTAAGACAATGATGTTCTATACAGGATATTTTACTGCCCCAGGAAAGTTTCGTATTTTTAATTAAGCCTCTTATGACATCACACTCACAACCTTATGGAAGTATAAACCTTGATATCTCCAAGGTGCGTCACTCAAATCATATACAAATATTTTGCCATTCACTGAGATACTCGCTTCATAAGTTAAGGTTCATAGGCGCTTTAAATCTGCGAAAATAATCCCTCTGTAACCCAGGGTAAGTAAAACGCAGATGAACCAAGTTTCTTACAATTGATCAATATGGCTGCGTATAGAGCAATTTTCGTATGACTGTGAAAAGCTCAGTGCCGTAAGCGTGACGTGCCGTGACCGTGATACTTTCTAGAATTTTAATTGGCTGATTTTTTTTTTACGCGCAATATGATTGGTCTAAAAGTGCCGTGATCTTGACGTGACCGTGTCCGCGCCGTGTTTATGCCGTGTTCCGGGTATTTGATTGGATGGAGAGTAAATTCTCGAGCAATGTGATTGGTCTGGCGTATGCCTTGCCGTGTCACGACCGTGTTCGTGCAGTGAACTTTTCACAGTCATACGAAAACTGCACTAAGACACTGTATTAGACGTAGTGTTAGGGTTTTCAGAGTACTGAATGTTTGATGGTTTTTTTCCCCGTAGTGGAAAGGCTTCGCAGAATGAGATGCAGGAATGCCTGGAACTGTAAAAGGTGTTACGAAATCAAACGTCAAGGAAGATGCAATGGGCCATATAAGATGGGCGTTTGTTATAAGACTTGTACAGGATGTGGTGAGTATAGTTTAGATGCCGTGCCGTGATCGTGAAGATGAAATTAAATATACAAGCAATTTTATTTGATGTGCCGCATGCTCGAGAGCTTTGATCGGTTCAGACGAGAGACCCCTTGCATGTGACGTCAAAGCAACTCAATTTGGAGGCAAAACATAACAATTTCGATCTCCTGAGAATTGGAAACCTATTGTTATGTCCTCCAAATTGAGCTGCATTCCGATCGGTGCTGCAATGGGTCTTTAGAGAGTTAATTTGCAAAGCACCTTGTTGACGGCAAACGCTAAACGCCAGTTAACAATAGAAAAATATTCAAGATTAGCGAGAACGAATAAGACATTTGCTTGATGGTGTCATTGACCTCTACTACCATACTCCCTTGCACACTTTCTTTTGTTTATGGTCCATGGTTTGTTCATGGTTTTTAGACAACTTGTACCAAGGGGGGGGGGGGGGGGGG